CGTGATTTGGCTATAGTACCCCATTAAGACAAAAAAACAAACAAAAAAACGAATGCAAATGAGCTTGTATGGGCCCTTCAAAGCCAAACATTGGATTTGTCTAAAAATTTTGGTGAATGAGATGATTGTACCGGCCAGTGCACCATGAGGCTGGCAGTTTGGATAGCGTCCATTTTTGCCTAAATATAACTACATTCCCATTATGTAGACGCGATAGGGGCTAGGTAACGTTTCCAAAGGTTTTCTGATGTTTCGTGAGCGTTGAATTCCATATTGAGGAGGCCTTAGGTTCTTAATGACATGGTCGATACTATTCCCATATTTAACAGGGGTTTTTTGTGTTTGTTACAAACTCGAGACTGTCATGGTACCTCATATCATCACGTGATTGAAGCTATTGATTGATTTCACGTTTTCCCCCATCAGCGAATTATTTATTTTAATGCTTAACTCATTAATTTACATTTGTCGAGATGTTTATGCAAAATATACACAAACGACATAAATATCGTATCAATTCTTCTAAAATTGTTTTAAAGAGTTTACATAAGTCAGTCATTTTGTGATTGTTTTCGCACTTGAAAATGCCAGTTAAATGTTGGTTAAATGTTTTGCCTTGCTTTTTCCTGTCATCGTCGTTAAATGACACGGGATTGACGGGAAAAATGATAAAGCGCCGGAGAGATGGGAGATTAATCTTGAATTTAACGACCTACAGCCCTACCCTCCTAACAGAAGCTGCCATCTCGTCAGATTTTTCTCCCCTCGTGGGCATTTTTTTTCGCGTCCGCTTTGATTCCAATTCACCGATCGGTCCCAATCAATTGCATAACTGTCGCCAGCTATGCCGGTCGGAAAAACTTGAGAATTTAATCCAACGTTGCCCAGATATTCGAGAAATTGTGCAAGTCCGTCCTTGGCCAGAATCAGCGCTGTCCCGGAATCGAGAGGATAGCGACTTTCTGAGAAATCGTCTCATGGGTGAGTCGGTCGGATTCTTGTCCCCCTACCCATGACTCAAGCCGAGATGTCATCTCAGATGGTTTACTACGATTCTCTTTGGCGTTGGTGGACCGTAATAGTCCTGATAGAATCATTTCCCCCAATTCAGGCGATTTGGAATTACGATTTTTAAAACATATATTACACAACAATGTATTCACGACGCAGACAAAAAGGGCAAGGATATTGGGTAAACTACAGGAATGTTGTCAGACAATCGTGGATCGGACTTTTCCATTTTTTCAGTTTTTACCTCATTTATTTTATCTACGACGGTTCAATTATAAATCAAAACAACGAACAAGAATCGATTTCAGTAGTTCAATGTGGGATTTATTGGCGAGATATCAATTCCGAACCCATATTTTCAGGGGTTCAAATTGTGATTTCTATTTCAGTACTCACAATTATTCAGAAGGGCCACCGGAGGGCTTCGTTCGATTGATCAGATCCATTTATCTCGACAATACGCCGGTTTGTAGGTGAAACAACTCAGCAGCAAATCAGCAGATACTACACCGCCGATGGGGGATATACAGCCTTGTAAAGCCTTGTATATATAGCCAGCCCGATAGATTTTTGTATCTAGACTATGGCTTTATACAATCGAGAGAGTAATTCATATCTACATATACAGGGTGAATTGCTACTCGTGCTACAAACTTCTCCAGTAGATTCTTCACCCTAAAATGAACAAAAAAGTTCATATTGTCCATGGTCCGATTCTCAACCATTTCAGAGTAATTTCGCTTTTTATCGATTTTGAAAGATATCACGTCCTGGCGTCGGAAAATCGTGATATCTTTTAATCTAAACATTTCTCTGAAAATCTAATAGCACCGTTGAAATTCCCGTTAATTTTTCAATAAGAAGATGACGGTGGCAAAATGTTTGGGCTAATTTTTTGTGTTTTATTTCAGCCAGAACTACAAAAAGAGTGGAAAATTGTGTAAATCGGAAAGTGTATAAAGTAATCCAGAGTTTCTAATTTTAGTCTCAGAAGGCAGCAAATTTGAGGAAAACTACCTGATTTAATAACGCTTCCAACGCACTCGTCATTTTCTTATTTAGTGGTTGTGAGACCAAGATGTTGATGACAAAAAGAGAAAAAATGGTGGTTCAAGGATTGCTAATGTTTGAGAGTGACTTGCTACTCGTGCTACAAACTTCACCAGTAGATTCTTGACCCTAAAATGAACAAAAAAGTTCATATTGACCATGGTCCGATTCTCAACCATTTCAGAGTAATTTCGCTTTTTATCGATTTTGAAAGATATCACGTCCTGGCGTCGGAAAATCGTGATATCTTTTAATCTAAACATTTCTCTTAAAATCTATAAGCACCGTTGAAATCCCCGTTAATTTTTCAATAAGAAGATGAAGGTGGCAAAACGTTTGGGTCTTTCTTCCTTGACCTTCTAGCTGTTTGTAAACTTCTTAAGCATTACATACTAAATGGGCATTAAATTAAATTAAAAAATTTCAATGGAATTATGATTTTGATTCTCTCTAAAAATTAACGGGGATTTCAACGGTGCTTATAGATTTTAAGAGAAATGTTTAGATTAAAAGATATCACGATTTTCCGACGCCAGGACGTGATATCTTTCAAAATCGATAAAAAGCGAAATTACTCTGAAATGGTTGAGAATCGGACCATGGACAATATGAACTTTTTTGTTCATTTTAGGGTCAAGAATCTACTGGAGAAGTTTGTAGCACGAGTAGCAATTCACCCTGTATATACGCTTTTAAGGCAACCGAACCTCTGGCTCCAATTAGAAAGGGTAGAAACAAAACCATTTTGTATCCACTTTTTGGCTTCCTTTATGCCTTAGAGCTTACCCAATATTTTCAAGTTACTCGGGGTTAAACGGGTGGTTTCGGAAGCCCACGCTGTCTTCTTATTTTAGTGTTAAAAATAAATTGAAACCAAACGAGGTCTGTCCGCAAAAGGTTGATACCTCCAAAATATAGGCAAAGATTCCAATTAGTGTCACGCGACATATTAACCCATCAAATTAACCATTTTTATTTTGAAAATAAAACTTTTCTCACTACATGAACCTTTTTTGATCTGAACTTCACTTTTTCAATTTCAAATTAACCATTTTCAACCTGAAATGTACCTTTTTAAAAACAAATGAACCCCGCAACGGTTTAGGCATTGACATGTAGCTCATCACTGTAAGGTAAAGGTCCCGGGTTCGAATCCAACGGCCCTGCATACTTATAAATGGTTTTTTTTTTCAAAAACACCGGCACCCCGAGGGTTCATAAAAAATAAAATATACGTAGGTAAAGTACAATTTCTGTATATTTGAGACTTTTTTTAATAAAAACAATTGGGCTCTTAGCAGACTACATGAAACACTGTATTTTTCTATTAAAATTTGAAATTACATACATAACATAAAGTGTAAAAAATACATGAAGGATCCATATAGTTTTTCCGTCAAATGAACCCTTTTTAATTTGAAAATAAGCCTTTTCGCACTAAAATGTTTTTAATTTAACCTTTTTAAATTGAAATATACCCTTTTCACTTAAATTAACCCCTTTTTAATTTCAAAATTACCCTGTTTTATTTCAAATTAGGCCTTTTTTTGTTTTAAATTAGCCTTTTTTTAATATAAAATTAGTCCTTTTTAATTTCAAATTAGCTCGTTTTAATTTAATTAACCTATCTTTTAAACATCCAAAAGTAAGTACGTAAAGAAAAGTAGCTGTATTTAAAAACAAAAAGTTAAATATAAAATAATTGGAATCTTATAAGACCATATGAATACGAATGGGATACTGGCACGCTCTTTATAAAGAGACAAAACGTGACTCCCTTCACACAACGAGAGATGTTGAGGCCTGCATAATCCATTCCTAATTCCTCTACGGTTGCTAGGATGCATTCCTATTGCTGTTAATTGTATTGTATTTCTGTAATTAAACGAATGTTTATTACTCTTTCGAATATTTGGTTATTTCTTGAAAATTCATAAAATTCTTTGTTAATGGTTAAATGAGTGTGTTTGAGTAATAATCAGTACTTATTTTTCTTTTTTAAAGCGTTGGTGGGAAAAAATATTAATGAAAAATAGTTATGAATGTCCTTTTAATTTTTCATTATTTGTTAATCCTCCACGAAAGAAGAAAGAATTCAGATATTTATAGTATATTTGATAGTTTATCTTCAATTAATATTTTATAAATATATATTAAAGTACAATTAGGAAACATCGCTGGGCGATCTGATGACTGGGCTCATGAATTTTTAAACTGATCGGCCCAGACTTTTTTCTAGGAAAGAACGTGGAGCATTGTGTCAATGATTGCATTACTGGGTCGGTTGACGTTTCTCGAAATACGGTCAATGAAAATGTTATACTTGGTACTGAACGATTGAGGCGCTATTTTCATCGCGACTACTCATAACGGGCGAATTGTTTAAATTTGTAGATCTTGAGAAACTGTCAGCCTCCTAACAATAACCTATATAGAAAGAAAGCAATATACCGTGTCAATCCGCATAAAAATAATTTGTCACTTCAAATAATAAATTTTACAACGCAATTGACAACAACCTTTAGCAAACCGTAAACAAACTGTGCCTTGACTGATTTTCTATTGCTAACGTATCAGCTCAAGGTTGTGAAGTACTTTACCGCCGATTGCGTACTTAAAAAAACCAAATTACATTTATAAAAAAAATTTCACAACAGTACGAAATTTTTGTTACGAGGTGGACATAGTCATACTGTCTGATGGACGGACTCATGAAAAAACGCTTTACATTGTACGTTTCTCAGGCAAGTAAAAGCATAACAACTTCGAAGTTTGGACGCATGAACGAACATCTGTTTGAATACAAGCCCGATCAGTGGCCTGCACCCAGGCCTACTTCTTTCCGACCCGGTTCAAATTTAAAAGACTTTTTTATTATTAAAACTGGTTTTTGTAAACTTGCATTTTACAGCGGTTTACTTATTTGAATATTTTTCTAGGTTTGAGAGAGGTGTGCAAGCTGGCTGACACTAAGTACAGAACTTTACACAGGCCACCGCCTGTTGTATGGTCGCACGGAAGGAGTCAACGTAAGTGTTATTTATTTTTTTGGTACAAGCCTTTAATGAATCACAACAAATCGAAAAACATTTTTTCTTAGAATAAATAGTTCAAAGTCTCGAAAGTATGTTTAACATCTCATTAATAGCATTCATCCATCTCTACTATGTGTTTGGAGGAAAACGGGAAAATTTTCTTTCTCCGTTAAATTCTAATTACATGTATTGGCGATTGACCTTTGATCTTTTAGTTTTACAATTGACCAAAGCAATTGATGGAAACGGAGGTCGATTCCATTTGATTGGAATACAAACAGAAGCGCACATTCTTCTTTCACAGCTATCCTATTTCAAAGATTGCTGAAAAACAAAAACGATTAGTTTATTCAAACTATTATCAAAGCCAATCAATGAGTATTTATAATTAAGTTTATAGAACTGAAATCACATGATGAAGGCATCTGTAAAATAGATAACGCGTATTAAAAGATTATGAGATAATCATATTCAATGTATTGCCCCAAGAAGCGACATGGATAGGATGTTTGAGTTCAGCAAAAACAAATTAAGTACCAAATAGTCAGAACGCATGGGAAACATAAATATCTTCCAGGCTGAAGTCCATGCAATTGAAGGAGTATCCAGTGCAATCTGATCAAAGGGTACAAAAACAGGAATATAGTTATCATGTCAGATATCCTAACAGCTATCAAAAACACCATTTGCTCAACGTTGGTGCTGAATTTCAAAACTAAACTAAACTAATCAGGTTGCAAAACTGTCACCCTTTGCTGGGTCCCGGGCACGTGCGAGTTAAGGCAACGAGAGAGCCGGCGCTCTTACAAGGAAATGGGCGGGCATACCACTGATAGGTTCTGAGCACTTCTATGGCATAGGGATTCACACTACCAATGAGTACCTTAAACAAAAGGACAAACTGAAAATGAGGGAAAAGTGGAATTCAATCATTGGTTATAAATAAATCCCTTCTAGGAAATTTTGGGAAAGAAAGAAACAACAGAAATGCATCAAAGGAAGCTGGAAAAAAATTAAAATACTAACAGGATTCTTAACGGGATACTGCAGACTGAATAGGCATCTGAAGAGGATTGGTACAACAACACGGCACGTGCAGTTCTGCAAAGACGCAGAGGACACACCAACCTACAAACTGGGGCGCCACATTTGTCCGCAGAAGGAAGTGTTTTGGGATGTACAATGGGACCGTTTAGAAGAAATTCGACCACTGGAACGGAAGGGTACTAACCAAGTTACTTGATGAACTAGGACTCATCGTGCGGTGTAAGTACAAAACGGGGGTACAATAGCAACTTTTATTCTATCTACATTTACATCTATTCTATTTATTAGAGTTGATGATAGGTTTTGGCTATCTCCAATCGTTATTCTATCCTTAATCATTATTCCTCGGATAAGTACTCCGATGCTCTATCACTTGAGCTATCCTGGCTCCGATCGCCAATATCACATACTTCTCATTTCCCGTTCAATCCACTTGGTTATATACAATAAAAATTGGTACATTAACCTCGACTTACACCTGAGTGTTGTACACAGTCCCAATAATGTAGCATCGTTAATAAAAAAATGCTTTTGAGTACTGATGTTTTTGCAAGATGACGGATCATTCAGCAGCTTTGAGCAATTTTTCAGCGCGTTGTTTTGTGTGCCCACATTTTTAAAATTTTACCTGTTCAATTTCTTTGTGATTTCAACAACACGACTTCGATAAAGAAAAATTCCTTTCGATTAGGAACATTTCCTCTCGCTGTTTATTCTACAGACTCGGAAAATGGATTTCGTCAGAACTTCCTTTAAATAGACAAACAGCACGGCGATGTTCTACGCAGTGTTAACAAACAATTTTTCTTACGCTCTGGATCAATTAAGATATGGATTTTTTTTTGCTCAATATCTTCTAATGAGACAATTTGACCTCAGTGACCCATTTAACGGTTTGAGGACCAGTTTCGTCTCTTAATATTTTTTCGGTTTGAATCGGCATTCCGCAACTCCGAACCGACAAGTCAAGATTACAAGTGGTGTTTTAGGAATCGGCCCAAAAACTCAAATGCCCGACCTATATCCGCACTCGTCTAACTGAATTCCCCTCGGTTGAGTCAACACGTTGGCACTGACGTCAAATCTCCGCATGGTAATCGCCCTGTGCGATAAGCCTAGGCTCCCGGTTCATTAAGAAAAAGAGATAGCGCATATGTCTCCTCGTGGTGAATAACAATGGGCGTGGAAACAAACGCTTGTTAATTGCATTCGCACCTTCCGAGAAATAGCAGACGTTTGCCAGACGAGAAAACCGACTCAACGGCGAGACGTGACTCGAAAATCACTTTTCTCTGTTAATATCTAATGTCATCTTGGAAAATAGTAAACTATGGTTCATTTTTAAAACCTAGTTCAACCGCAAACACACACCATGTACATTCTGCAGATAAAGCCCAAAAATGAGAGTGTAATAACGTCCACTAGCCTTGCTACTCAGTAGGTGCATCGCACCCAATCAGTAGATTTTTGTTTTAAGCACAAACTAAACCAAAAGTTTCGCTTAACTTAAAGGGTTAAAAAGGGTTAACTAGGAAGAAAACCTAGCTTTCAAAATGATTGGTTATCTGAGTTTGGACGATACGCAACGATGATGTCATTTGCGATGATGATGAAAATGCGATTGTACCTCCGCTTTACGTATCAAAATAATAATGCTTTAAAAATTGCCTTTACTATAAAAAATTAAGTTTGTTAGGACCTATATGAGATAATAATATTGTTATATTAAAAGTTGACATTTTTAACGTTGTTTCACAATTGCATCAAACTAAAAAATTGGATTTAAGTAGGGACGTAATCATCGTTGGAACTGCGGAGTATTCAAAGTTTCAGAAAGTCCTGAGTTAATGAGGCTGTTATAGCAAAAGAATGGAGTACTTAGCCGGGCTTTTCAGGTAAAAAGAGTTTTTCAAAAATTAAAATACTTCCTGAGGAATGCAGTCAAGATCAACGATTAACCGGCTCTCAGAATGATATTTTACAAAACCAAAAAGAACTATGTAAAGAAGCAATAAATTTGCTACTGCATACCCCACAGATTTGTCATCATCAAATATTTCCGAAATAATCAACCAATTCAAAAAATCTCATATAAATGAAAATATATAGGAAAAGTAGAATATTTGGCGAAATCTCCTGTAAACGTCTTGTGACCATTATTTTTATATTTGACTGTAACCTTTTCAGTAACAAAAAGATCATATTCGAAATGAACATAAATGAATTTATACCAACTAAAATAGAAACAATTATGCAACAAATATATTTCAACGGATTAATCACTTAATTTGTCATTTTAAAATCAAGAAAAGACCAAAGAAAAATTACAAACGTTAATCCTTTTGTAATACTGTGATACGAGATTGTGTGAACCCTTCTCCTTGAATAGGGGGGGGGGCAAGGAGAAACGTGACCCTGTGTTTGTATTACATCAAAAACAAAAATAATAGGTTGCGTATATGTCGAGATATAAATTTAACAAAACAATATTGAACATTTTCTACAGTTACGATAGCGGTATTTCTTTGCTTCAATGTTTAATATTATGTTTTCTCAATTTTGAAATGGTAGAAAGCCATGGAGACGTTTGGAGTAAGGATATTACATCAAACACTGAGCCTTGAAAAAATTTAAAAGGATGGTTAGTATTTTTTGTTTCATCGTGTAACAATTTTATTTTTTAGTGTAGTATTATTTGGTATTAGTTTTCATTACAGCCTTTTTGTTTGCGATAACATTGTTACTATTTTGCTTACCTAAAATCGTCCACATAATCTATCAAACAGTTTGCAATAAAATGTATCATAAGTAAATAACAGATTTAGTTTAAGTTTTACTCATTTGCTGTAAAAGAATTAGATGTTGCATTCAGTGACATATACTAGGAAGCGAGCAAGCTTTATTGGGAGATTTACACCCTCTTGATGGTGGCCGAGCTCATTCGAGTTTATTGAGGATAGGAGAGATTCCTATCAATTTAACTTGTGCTCTTATCTCAGATTTAAAAAAATCAATCAGTGTCAAACGGGCTTTACCCTCTGTTTTAAACGGTTTAAAATGTAACCTACTATGTATTGCTGTTGAAGGAAATGAATGCTATCTATTATTATTGTTGTAATATAGATGTGCCAGGTTGTTATTACTAAATAGGTTAATAGGCTTGGAAATTTGCTACACGTTCTCGGACTGCCTAAATACCAATCCAACTTCATAATACTGTTAGGGGTGGTCAGGACTAAGGTGTCACTATCCATCATATGATAGGACTACGTTAAACCCTAGTAAAACGCTATTGAGAAAAAAAAAGAGCACAAGTTATATGCATTCCTAGACGATTCTGGAAGGCTTAAGCCTGTTTGCCAGTAGTTGGTTGGTAGACTGTGTTGTGTCTATAGTCATTAGTGTTGGGTTTATAGAGTGGAGGGTTTGTAGTCATCAGTGGAGGGTTTGAAGTTAACGGTTGAGGGATTGTAATCGTCAGGTTTGGTTTGTAAACAGTGTGGTGGCTTTGTAGTCAGTGGTAGGTAGGTTTGTAGTCATCTCTGATAAATTTCTGATCTTTTGTTGGGGGTTTTGGCCATCAGCGTTGGGTCTATAGTCATTAATGTTGGGTTTATAGACAGTGTTGGGACTGTGGTCATCAGAGGTGGGTTTGTGGAGGGTTTACAGTTATCAGTTGAGGAATTGGAATCGTCAGGTTTGCTTATCTTAAATATAAAGATAATTACATAAAACAATTGCAATGCAACATGAACTTCAGAAGTTTTGTCTGCAATTTTTTCCCATGAAAATGATATATTGCGTATTACATATATCACAATTAACTAGTAATTGTTTTTAAGGAAGAGATGGGCCCAAGCTAGACTTAGTCTACGTCCCAGAGGAAATCCCTCGATCGGCCTGACTATAATTTTTGAAATTTGCCAGATACCTTTTTTTATTGATTT